AGTGTTTAATCCGGAGTTACCACGCCGCTCTGCATTAGGTGAAGGCCAATATCTGTAGAATTGTAAACAAAAGTATAATCTCATTAGCAGCGCATCCCGCATAAAACATAAGTTTCAACAAAAAATAACTTGAGTAAAGATGTTTGGAGCACCACTGTTGATGAATTGTGATGAAGGAATGTGTGTGTAAACAGAAGCTGTGTTGTGGCAGGTTTTTTGAGAAAGGGTCAGGCTTGTTCTTGTGCTTCAAGGTGATGGAGATAAGGCATATCAATCCTTTTCAAGAATAGTTGAGAGTGCCCAGGCCATTATGGTGATATTCATTGATTTTGAGTCTCACAAGGCTAGACCTGCACAAATCATAATAGTAGGATCAATATTACAAAGTTACAACCAATACCATTTGATGTATCACATGACACAAGTTTGAAACCTGCACCTCAAAACAAATCATTGTTAAGCTTCCTAAGTTGATTTCTCAAATCACAATTACTAGCCGCTGTTAAGTTTGAAAGTCATTCGGTGAATCAGCATGTGACTCGTAAAATCAACAGGAAAATTGCACTTCTTGGAATCCTCTATGATGAGAATGTGCAAAGAAGCTTTTGATTCTAGTCCAGACATTGCAAGGGCTACATAGGGTGCTGATGAATTATCTGCACCAGGAGAATTCAAGAAACAGAGACTGGCAGCGGCAAGCCAGAGGCCAGCTCTGGAACGTGAAGGTCTTGATGCTTTGGCCAATGCTGCAGTACTTGGAGATGATACAAGTGACTCTGGCAGGACACCAGTCACGACCATTAAACACCCTTGTCATAGACTTGGATGCTCCTGCATTGTCTGTATCCAGCCACCAAATAAGAAGGGTCAAGCACATGCAAATAACAGATTTAATGCATACAATAGGTATATAGAAGAAGTAAGTCACAACTTGGCATACCAATTTTATTGCAGGAAATATGCCCAACCGCAGACAAGATCTTCGCATTTGGTAAAGTCTCAAATCCTTGTTTGACTTAACCATGAGAAACTTGTTTCTAAATTCTACCGCAATACAAGCTTCAAACTCCAAGAGGTAAAATGGATTATCTACTCTCCTGCCAAACTTACACAACACAAAGAAAATGGAAGTTGGTTAGATTGAGATAATATACAAGACTAGAGGTCCTGTTAGCTCCAAGGCAAGAAACATGTCACACATGAACGTATAATCAAAACCGGATGCGATCAGTTCATAAAGTAATGATATTACTAACATTGTTAGTATATTTACCATCATACCATGCATTGAGATGATGAGAAAACAAGAAGTTCAAGGAAGCCCCGCAAATCAGGATCTACAACAAGTAGTGTTCTGGTTCTTATGGTTATGCTACTGAAGTATCATGAATGTGCTTCTTCCACGCTTTCATCACTGCAGCATTACACCAAGTCTCGTGCTAGTTCATGATCAGTTCAAGGCCAAGTTTGTAGAATACACCTGAAAAAGGATGAAAAGATTTTATTAGCATGAGCAAAATGGAAGTGATACAAATAACTAGCATACCAGAAAGTAATGCTGCGTAAGATGAAATAAAAGCCACATCAGCGCAGTAAAAATCCCAAGAATTCACACGATAAAAAAAATCAAGGTAAAAGTAGATATTTTGTTAGCTCACTACAGACAAAGAAGGGGGCACTGTCGTTCAAATCCCGTAGAATCAGTGATCATGGTAGTAGCACATAACAGAATTGTACTACCAAAACACACCTCATCGTCCTACACAAATTTCACACAATTCAACCAATTTTTTTCATCGGAAAATTTTGATTCTCACACGTACCAAGCAAAACTCTAAAATCCCCTATAAATACAACTCCCTTCATTGGCAAAAACAAGAAAAAAACCCTAGCGAAGCTCTGCGAAATTCAATCCTCAAATACCTAAAATCACTCCAAAGTTCTTCCTAAAAGTTGATAGAGCTTCATATTGAAGCTCTAAACAACTCGAACTAAGCCGCATCACATGAACCCAGAAACACGAGCAAGCAGGACACGAAAAAGAAGAGGAAAAGCGAAAGGCATACAACACGAACCAATTACCTCAACATTTCACCATTGGAGCAGCTTAAAGCTGGTAAGTTCCCTCTTCAAATGATTCATGCTCGCCGATAATATATATGCTTGAATATGTTGTTCTATGTGTGATTTAAGTTCTGATTTGGGTTGATTTAGGGTGTTGTTTGTTAGAGTTAAGATTTGATTGAGGTTTCAGAATAGAGAAATTTGGACCGCGAGAGAGTTTAAGGCGAGTTTGATAGAAAGGGATTCAACGGAGAGAAAAGAAAGGCATGTTGGGTTTGAAGAAGGAATATTGAGTTTTTTTTTTGTAAAAACGCTTTTTTTAAAAGTCAATAAATGGTCATTCCCTATTTTATCTTTTGGGCTATCATCATGTTCATTAATTACTAGTTAGTGATTGCAATGTGGCTCTCTAGAACCCCATGGCAACCTTTGCAATTTCCTTACTGTTTGTTGCACACTTTGCGGTATGTTAGGTGGTGAGGGTTTGGGCCTCTGGCCCAACCCGACTTGAGGAAAGCTCGTCTGTGGGCCTTTTGCAGCAAGTCTGTTTTGGGGTTTAGACCCCTCTTTTCTTTTTTTTTTCCATGCATGCAGTTTATTCTAGTTTAATATGTTTTTATCTATTTATTAAGTTAACAACTATGCTAGTGATAACAATAATTTAAAGTTATTATTAATTTTGTTTCAATCTTTGGTATTAAGATACATCATAGATGACTACTATAAAGTAATTTATATATTAATTTGATAAGGTTCTCTTAATCCATTTAATTATTTAGGTTAATCAAATATTTAATGTAGTTAACCTTTAAAAAATGCTATCTTTGTAAATTTAAAGTCATAATTCTTTCTAACTAATACTAGGAAATTTTTATTTTTTTAGTTAATTAGTGGAAGTAGTGGGTTCTTGAGGTCTAGCACCTTTTGGACCCTTGAACGAATACTCTTGAAGTGCACACTTTGGGTTGTATTCGTTTCGTCTTTCATCCTTAAAAATACCCAACTTTGTTTAAACCTCCAAAATTCGCAAACCCTATTCGAGCAATATGCTCACCTTAGCTTAACTCATCTACGTTATTAAATTCAAATTATTTTCCTAAAATTAAAATTACGAAAGAATCGAATTCTTGGAGTCATGCATTCCTTGAATTTGAGAATGATTACTATTGAGGCGTACACCTTGTATAGTGTGTCATTCGAACTTTCGTTCCTAAAACACTTTTTCTTAATTATTTGGACAAGTATTCACTGTCCAACAAACATATTTCATAACTAATAGAAACCAGTAGCAACAATAACAGTAGTAATAATTTGTAGAATCATTACTTATTGCAACATGTAGAACAAAGTTACTACATCATGTTATAATAATAGTAGAGTAAAATGCATATCACTTCTAAATTACTTGGCATAAGGCATATCAATTCTAAATTACTATGCATATCAATTCAAAACAAAATGGAAATAACAGTAGAGTAAAATGCATATCAATTCTAAATTATATTACTATGAAATTGTGTAAACTAAATGCATATTTTTTTCAATGAACAATTTGTAAAGTAAAATGGAAACCAATAGCAGCAATAACAGTAGTAACAATTTGTAGAATCATTACTTATTGCAGCATGTAGAACAAAGTGCAATGTAAAATGCACAACATCAAAATTAGATCCATAATATATCTGACTATCTGTGATAATATTTGAAATGCACAGCATAATAAAGAATCACTAACATGTTCAACATTTCAATTTCAGTAACTGATATTCCAAACCACTTCATAACTAATTGTCAGCATTTCAATTTCAGTAAAATTTCATCATAATTTGTCTACACCAAATCAAACAAATCAATTATAGATAATAACAACAATTAACAATTTTCTAACATTTTCAAATTTCAATTACACAAACTCAGAAGTTAGACCAATTGCATATTTTAACGGGGGTCACATAGCGAAACTAAATCCAATATTGTCTTGCTGATTCCTAACTTCATTAACATAACTTCATTAACTTCCTTCTAGTTAATATTGTCTTGCTGATTCCTAACAGATACATTAACAATAACAACAACACCTGCTCATATTTCTGCAACCTTCACTGCAGAAATAACTTAAGCAAAGTTAACTTAAGAGTTTTAATCTTCTCTCCTTCATTCACCTACCTTGAGTCACAATGGTAAATGTTAGAGTGAACTGACTTGTTAGAAAACACATGGGCATATAATGTAAAACCCTTTCTGGGTTCATACGAAGTTAATTCAACAGAACAATTTCACCAGAAGATTAATATCAAACATGTAGAGGAGCATTGAACCCTAATTTAATCTTCAACAATTTAATGAAAAAAGAGAGGAGCATTGAACCCTAATTTCAACGGAACAAAGTTAAATAAAAACAGAGAGGAGCATTGAACCTGGAAATTTGAAAGTTAAGACGATACAGAAACCGGAATGGCGAGTCGTTGGTATATTGCGGCGGAGAGAAAAACTTGCGTGGTGGTGGTCTGATGGAGAGAGAAAGACGAATGGTGGAGAAAGACCTAGAACTAGGAACTTTTATTTTTTTAATTTTTATAATTTTTACATTTAAATTTTAATTCAAAAATAAAAAATGCAGTTGAACCGGTCAAACCCTAAAACCGAATTTTCCTGGTCCAACTCGGTTTTTCCCGATTTTTACCGGGTTAACGACAAGGACGATTCAACTATCAAATCGGACCGGTTGTTAGTCTGGTTCCCAGTCCAACCAGTCCAACCGATCCGACCGGCCGGTCCAATCCGGTTTTTAAAACCTTGATTTCCACGAGCTTCATTTGCCCCCTTCTCCGAGCTTCCAGAGAAACCCATTCTCTTCCTTCTTTTCTCCCCAAAACTAAAACTTAAACCCAACGAAACTCACTAATCAAACGCTTCTGCTACCGTGTTAATCTTCAATGGCAACCAGAAAAGCTCCAAAGATAACCAAATCCGCCATCGCCGCCGTCACGTCGTCTAGAACGAAACCCCCTCCCACTCGTCCTCTCTCCGCTCCACTCTTCAATGGAACCTTCCACCACGCTTCAGACAACGCGATGGTTCCTCTTTCACGCTCTCGAATTATGAACGGAACCACCAATGTCACCTCCGCTAAGTTCCTTTCCCACTCTTTCACTCGCAATTTTCACGCCTCTAGTCCTTCCTACCGCTCCGCCGGAGCTTCTCAGGTTTCGCCAATGCTTTCTCATTCTTTCCTTAATTTCAATTTCATTATCAACTCAGAAGTGTTTCTGGTACTAAGCACTTTATTTAATTATGATTAGTGAATGGCGAAGTTGTTTGAGATAAAATTGGAAATCGAAATTAGGATTCAACTTCAAGTTAAGAATTTAAGATATGTTTTTAGGTTTGATTTAGTGATGTATTTTTTGGATTTAATTTAATTAGATAGCACAGTCGGAGTTCACAAAAATGGCTTGGGAGGGTATTCTTGGTGCTGTTGATGCCGCGCGAGTCAATAAACAACAAATTGTGGAGTCTGAGCATTTAATGAAAGCACTATTGGAGCAAAAGGATGGTTTGGCTCGAAGGATATTTACTAAGGCGGAATTAGACAACACGTCAGTTCTACAAGCTACTGAGAGTTTTATAGCTCAGCAACCTAAGGTGTGTTAATGTGGTTGGTTACTGGCAACATACTTTGGTTGATATTCTAGAAAGTTCTTATTCGCTGTTTTATTTGGCAGGTTACAGGTGACACTTCTGGTCCTGTTGTTGGTTCGCATCTGAGCTCCGTTTTGAACAACTCTCAAAGGCACAAGAAAGAAATGGGTGATGAGTATGTGTCTGTGGAACATCTGTTACTAGCATTTCATTCGGATAAGAGGTTTGGGCAGCAGTTATTTAAAAATCTTCAGCTTAGCGAGAAGGCTTTGAAGGATGCTGTACAGGCTATTCGTGGAAGTCAAAGAGTAACTGATCAAAGTATACATTCACATTTAATGGTTTCTTATTTTTAGAAGAAATATGGGAGGGCATGATTAGTTATATCTTTTTAACATATAAGTTAAAGTTATTAAAATTATGAATACACTTGAAACCAAATCATAATAGAAGTATAGAAATTTATTGAGTTTGATAGGATGAAAATAAAAAGCCATGTTCGCTTATGATTCTTATAAGCTATGGTGTAAATGGGACTAATAACCCAGGTACTGAGTTATAAATTGTTTATATTTAATATAAAGGAACCCGTTGTTTCAATCAATTTCTGTGTGACTATGGTGCATATTGATTTCCCTTGTGCTCGACCTTTACTAGCTTTCAGGTTACAAATCAAAACCCGATTTTGATGCTCAAATCGTTAGCTGTACCCCTCTCTTCCTTTTAATATATGTCTAAGCTATTACTTGAATTATGAAGTTATTCCGGGAAATTATATTGTTTGTACTGGTATCCTTTCTAGCTACTTTTGTTTGTTTGTCAGCAGTTCTGAGTGACAATTTGTATTATTATTGTGAAATAACTCTGTACAGATCCTGAGGGGAAATATGAAGCATTGGAGAAATATGGAAACGACCTGACTGAACTTGCTAGGCGCGGAAAGCTTGATCCTGTCATAGGTCGAGATGATGAAATTAGGCGCTGTATCCAGATATTGTCACGAAGAACAAAAAACAATCCAGTTATTATTGGGGAACCTGGTGTGGGGAAAACTGCAATTGCTGAAGGGTTTGTCTAACATTATTTTATACCAATTCTTTCAAATTTGTTATGCAACAGGACTTCTTGTTATTATTGTTCATTATGTCTGCCTTATTCTTTGTGCATATTCTTCCTATATGCGTAGTTTTGACTTTTCACATGTTTGTTAATATTGAGTTAGGGGCTATAGGTAACCTTCTCTTATATGCTTAGAATGCATTCTGTTCATGTATTTTAGATTCCCAATTTATTTGTCTCTTATTCTTTTGCCGGTAATATCCCTCTTGAATATAGCATTTCCCAATAGAGTGATGTGTACATTGTTTTATCAGATTAGAATGGTTTGATTACCAAGGAATTTTGTTCTTTTGTGCTACATTCTAACACGTGTTTATAACATCTTTGTTCATTGGAATTAAGTCAAGTAATCAAAGTCTTGAATCATGGTTTCATCCTGAAGCATGCAATATGTCCTGAATTTTCTGATACATACTTTGTATAATTGCAATGAGCTCTGGCCATGGAATGTATGGATTGCAAGCATATAACATGCTTTTGGAGTAGTATTTTTAATCAAACTGCTTCAAGATCCAACAAGGGTGAAAAAGTGCCACCATTTGAATATATGTCTGATTGATTTAGAGGCAGTAGCGTAAATTTTTAATGCCGAACTATATGTTACCTTTGCTGTGTGTATTGTATCTTATCATTTAGGGTGGCAGCTGCTTAACTTTTTTCACTGTCTTTGCAGATTAGCACAACGTATAGTGCGTGGAGATGTTCCAGAGCCATTGATGAACAGAAAGGTTGAACTCCTATTTTCTCTCTTCACTTGATTATAAAATGATAATTTAAATTGAGTTACGTGTTTGACGTAATGTCAAGTCTCAATGCAGGCTGATCGTGTTCATTTTTTTGAAAATGTCTAATCTAGCTGCTTTCTGGCGGTGTCACATTTTTCTGAAATCCTAAAATTAATTTTTCTCACATTGAATGTAATTCGGTTTATTTGTAATTTAGAAGATTGAGCACAAAACCTAGATACTTTATAATTTATAAACAGTACCACTATTCCCTTCCACCCTACTACCTACACAGATAGAGAAGATCTCCTAGATATTTAAAATACTAAGCATGCATCTTATATTGATAACATACATTTAAGGTGGTGCGAAAAATATAATTTGAGAATGCTGTTGTTGCAAATTGTTGTCTCACAAGTATTTAATTTTTGTATTTGAGACTCTGGCAGTTTCCTCGATCCTCATCAAGCTTTTTGTTTGGGCTCTTAACAGATTATGAATTCATCATTGACCTTGGAAAATCTTATTGAATGGTATACATTCTTTTATTTAATATAGGATTGTAATATTGTAATAAAGGGGGTCGTGTTGCCGTAAAGCTCCTCCTAATCTTCAGCATGCAGAGTCTAAAGAAGAATTTGACCCACCACTATGGTGTCTAAAGTAGTAAGCCTTTCTAGGGATGTATTATTTTTGTTTAAATTGGTATTAAACTTTTGTTTTCACTCTTGGTGCTTTGTAGTTGATCTCCCTTGATATGGGTTCATTGCTTGCTGGTGCTAAGTTTCGTGGAGATTTCGAAGAAAGGCTGAAAGCTGTCCTAAAGGAAGTTACAGCATCAAATGGGCAAATAATTTTGTTTATTGATGAAATACACACTGTTGTTGGTGCAGGTTGGTATATTGTTTTTGTTCTCAAGCTGTACGAATCATAATCTCAATTTTGAGATTATTGTGGACTTTCTATTTGCTAAGACACAATTTAAGTATAACCATTCATATGCATTCACCTAATGGCTTATGCTTTCAGGATAGTTGCTTCATGATGTCATGGTATTAAATCCTCTATAACTCAGTAGTCTAGAGTTTGATCCACTCATCCCCTTTTTTCTAATAAAATAGTTGAGTTTTAGACTTCTAGCACAATATAGATTGCTCCATCTACTTGCTAAGAACACATGTCTTCAACTACCTGCTTAAACTTTTCAGATAATTGGTTGGAGTAGTACACTAGTCATAACTACCTACCTTCGGTGCACTCCTCCCCAAGTATAATAAACGTTGATAACTGTTCCTCGTTATAGTCTTCAATTAATGAGTATGCTAATTGATCTATTTCCTGCACTTTTAACAAGATTGGCGTGACATTCTGACTGATTAAGCATCGTCCCCTTAGTTCTGTTCCAGCTCTGCAATTAACCAATAAGTAATATGGTGTTTTTGGTCATTTGGTTAACTAATAGGAGCTACAAGTGGTGCAATGGATGCTGGAAACTTGTTGAAGCCAATGCTTGGAAGGGGGGAACTTCGATGTATAGGAGCAACTACATTGAATGAGTATAGAAAATACATTGAGAAGGATCCTGCACTTGAGCGTAGATTTCAACAAGTATTTTGCTGTCAACCATCTGTTGAAGATACAATATCCATTCTCCGAGGGTTGCGCGAGCGTTATGAATTGCACCATGGAGTCAAAATATCAGACAGTGCACTTGTTTCAGCCGCAGTCCTCGCAGATCGATACATCACGGAACGCTTCCTACCAGACAAAGGTAGGTTTTGACTCTAGCATTTATATGACCAGAGTTGACTTACTATAACAGTTTATTTTTCTGTTCACTTTACTATTTTGAATTTTTTTAATCCTACTAAAATAACAAGCTTTTCAAAATGAAAAGAAAAAGAATTTCTCTTGTTTCTCCCCCCTTTTCTTAAGCCTTCAGATCTTTGTGGTTATTATGTTTTAGAAGTTAAAAGTAGTCACGTGATGCCATCAGGTTGGAAAGTTTTCTGGTTGATTTGTTGATTCTGATATGTAATTAAATTTCTTCCTTTAGCTATTGATCTTGTCGATGAAGCTGCTGCAAAACTGAAGATGGAGATCACCTCTAAGCCTACAGAATTGGATGAGATAGATAGAGCGGTCTTGAAACTGGAAATGGAAAAACTCTCTTTGAAAAATGACACTGACAAGGCTTCTAAAGAAAGATTAAGTAAGCTTGAAAATGATTTGAGTTTACTTAAACAGAAGCAGAAAGAATTGGCAAAACAATGGGACAGTGAAAAAGTCTTAATGGCTAGGATAAGATCAATCAAAGAAGAGGTAATATTTGGTTTTTGTGTCACCATTATCATAAATCCCCCCCTCCTTCCCCCATCACAACTCAATAAATTTATGGTTCTTGTTTTAACATGTTTAGATTGATAGAGTCAACCTAGAGATGGAAGCTGCTGAGCGTGATTATGACCTGAACCGTGCTGCTGAGCTCAAATATGGAACTTTGATGTCCCTTCAGCGCCAATTAGAAGAAGCTGAAAAAAATCTAGTTGAATTCCAAAACTCTGGACAATCTTTTCTTCGTGAAGAGGTCACTGACCTTGATATTACTGAGATTGTAAGCAAATGGACTGGTATACCACTATCAAACCTCCAACAAACAGAGAGAGAAAAGTTAGTTTTGCTGGAACAGGTTCTTCATAAGAGGGTGATTGGTCAGGATATTGCTGTAAAATCTGTGGCTGATGCTATTCGCCGTTCAAGGGCTGGATTGTCTGACCCAAACAGGCCAATTGCAAGTTTTATGTTCATGGGTCCGACTGGTGTTGGCAAAACTGAGCTTGGAAAGGCTTTGGCCAATTACTTGTTTAACACAGAAAATGCTCTTGTTAGAATCGATATGAGTGAGTACATGGAGAAACACGCCGTATCACGTTTAGTTGGGGCTCCACCTGGTTATGTTGGTTATGAAGAAGGTGGTCAGCTAACTGAAGTGGTCCGCAGAAGACCCTACTCCGTGGTACTATTTGATGAAATAGAAAAAGCACATCACGATGTCTTCAATATTTTGTTGCAATTGTTGGATGATGGACGGATTACTGATTCTCAAGGAAGGACTGTTAGCTTCACAAATTGTGTTGTGATTATGACTTCAAACATTGGCTCCCATTACATACTTGAAACCCTTCGCAGCACACAGGATGACAAAAGTGCAGTTTATGATCAGATGAAAAGGCAAGTTGTTGAGTTGGCTAGGCAAACATTCCGTCCAGAGTTCATGAATCGAATTGATGAGTATATAGTTTTCCAGCCTTTGGATTCCAATGAGATCAGCAAAATAGTGGAGCTTCAGGTAAATTCTGTGCTCATATTACCTCTATCAACCTCATTATTTTGCTTCTTTCCTTTCTTTGGAGTCTGAAAATTTTATAGTAATTAATTTTTATAAGGACAACTTGTTCTTTTATCATAGTAGAAAATGTGGAGTGAAATAGTTGGCTTTGGTGTTTTTGTTTTTATAACTTTATGTTGTAAATGAATATTTCAGATATCCTACTCTAATAAGAAAACGACACTAACAACACCATTAGAATAATATCTATGTTCTGTCATTTTATTAAGTGTGTGTAGAAACTACTATAGGATCTTGGTAATGGGATTGGAAAAAGAGAGGGTATTGGAAAAAGAGAGTGTATCTTGTGAAACGTTTTGTTTGATTCATACTAATTGCTGAATATGTGTGCTAATATATGTTTTCTGACCTGCTGCAGATGGAACGTGTGAAGTACAGACTCAAACAGAAGAAAATTGATCTTCATTACACACAAGATTGTGTTAATCTTCTTGGTGTATTGGGTTTTGATCCTAATTTTGGAGCAAGACCAGTTAAAAGAGTAATACAACAATCGGTAGAAAATGAAATTGCAATGGGAGTTTTAAGGGGAAATTTCAGAGAAGAGGACTCAATCATTGTAGATGCTGAAGAAACTTCATCAGGCGAGGAAGGCTCCTCCATAAAGAGGCTGATTATTAAGAAACAGGATATTGTTGCTAATGCAATGGTTGCCAATGATTAGTGTCTAATACTACACCTTCACTTGCATAAAAGTAGGTTCTTATAATTAGGAATTTGGCAATCAGTATCTGATTAATAGCTCAACACCCTCTTTTTTTTGTTTTAAAATTCAGAAATTAAAATCAGTTTTTGTTAGTTTTAAAAAATTTTAAAAATAAAATCAGTTGAGTTGTGAAAATTTTAAAATTAGAATAATTTTTATACATAAACATAAAAATAAATATTTATGATAAACATATATCTTTAATCAAATAACTCATATCATTAGGCATTTAAATAATTGAAGTATTACTGTTGGTCAAGGTCAAGAGTTCAATCTGATTTTTTTTAATAATATATAAATATAAGTAAGTTAATATTTATAAATCAATAATGGTTTTTTCTTTCTTTCTAAAAATTAAATATTATAAATATATAATATAACTGTTTAGTAGTAATTTTAATAACTGTGGTTAAAAATGGTAGTTGTTAGTGAATAACAAACGGTGGTGACCCTTGTTAGATTGGTGATTAGTAAGAATTATGAGTAGGGGTGGAAATAGTCTGGGTTGAGCTAGACTTTGTCAAGTATGAGCTTGATCTGCTAAAAGAACAAAGAATTTATGATTTATTTTTTGGCCTGAGTCTAATCTTTGAAGGTTTGATTAACCTATTTAAAAAGTCTATATCAATTGAACATATGTACATAAGTAACTCAAATAATATTTAAATATACTAAAAAATCAAAAGTGTAATGAGACTAAATATTTGTTGACGTAGACTTGTTTGAGTTTACATAAAAACATAAGTTTTGTGAGATTATTTGCTCAGGTGAGTTTGTGAAAATAATTTATATTATTATTCTTAAACATTTTTCAACATATTTTTACAAATTCTTCGAGATAACAAACTTTACTTTTGTATTTTAGTATAAAATACAAAGTAAAATAAAAAATAATCTATTTATTTATTATTTATATTTAATAAAATAAGCCGGTTAAATAAACTTAAAATGTTTTTTTATGATCGGTGGCCTGATCTATTTAACTAAATAGACTTATAAAATAGCATAGGTCTTTTCAATTTAAAAAAAGTCTGGTCGGACTTTAGTCTATGTAGCCTAGGTCGTATATCCCTGTTAGTTGGTCTGACCTATTCCCACCTCTAATTATGATAGAGCGGTGATTAGAGGGTAATCGAGGTGACTAGTTGTTACATTGATGATTAGTGATAATTATGATGCTGATTGGTGTTAACAAAGTGATGGTCAAATTAGAGATGATAACTGAATAAAGTGGTGATCAAAAGTGATTGGAGGTGGTCAAAGTGGTGGTGGGAGATGGATGGCGGTGATTGGTGATATTCGGTGGTTTTTGAGATAGTTGACAACGGGCATAGTGATGGTTGGTGGTGGTCATAATTAGGGGTGTCAAAATGTGTTGGGCCCATCGAGACCGCTCGTTTAACCCACAATTTTTTACGGGGCGGGGCGAAGTTTTTGACTCAATATCTTAAGTTGGCCCGCCCTACCTAACTCACTTTTAAAACGAGATGAAAGTGGGGCGATGCAGGTTTTTCCTACAGACTTTTTGTTTTAATTTTTTTTATTTACTTGGAATTAAAATAATATTAATGTGGTTTGTAGTATACATACTTTTTAAAAAAACTCTTAATTCTTCAAACCGTAATATTTATTTTTTATTATCCCCACACACACAGAGAGACGCACACACACGCACGCGCACACGTACACGCACACGCGCATACACACGGGCAAACACACACACACACACACACACACACACACATATTGATCTGAAATGAATGTGTAGGAAATACACATATTCCTACATTTAAGATCATTAATCATAAGCTCTAAAGTTTCTGTCATCTATCTTTTGTTTCATCCTCAACTGCTGTAAAAGTTATTAACAACATCTGATCATTAGGATATCTACCTATGGTTGTTAAAATTTGTCATATATAAAGATCCTTTAAAAGCAGTCATCAAGATCTATGACATTCCTACATAACTTGAAACTCTCAGTATATGCTGCATAACATATGCATAGTATTTTGAAATGGGGTATTTTATCATCAATTTCTTCTTGAACAGGTTGAATATTTAACTTGATGTTGATCCAAGATGTGTTCTTAATATTTCATGATAATAGTCATAAATTATGTAATTCCCTAGGAATGAACCATCAACCATTATCTTGACATTATACTCTCTACTAAAAATATGGATGTCAATTATTTTCCCAATTTACCAAGATTCCTCCTTGAGCAACTTGGTATAGTCTGCTTTCCACTCACAACGCTCCTTATCCTTTTTTTTGTTGTCATTTTTAGTGAACTTAAGGTTCTTACGAGATTGGATATTGTGAGATGTTGGATCGAACTCTAGTATGGTCGAAGTCTGTTTGCGAGTAATGCCTGTTGTAGTCGAAGTTTGTTCTAACATGCATTAGTCAATATTGCTAGGGTTGTTAGCATGTTGAATTAGGCATTTGCTTGTAAGCCCAATTGTTTAAGTTAGCTTGTACCCTAAGTTAGCTTGTAATGGGTAATTGTTAAAAATCTCATTAGGTTAGTGTGCTATTTTTTTAATTATAAATAGGATACTAGTTTCTCAATTTTGATATAAGGAAAAATAGGAAGATAAAATCCTAATTTCAAGAGAGAGAGGTTATTTTGTTATTCTTGTATACTTGTAATCTTGTTTTAAGAGAAAGGAAAGAATATCAGTTTAATAACCAATCCTTGTTGTTTTCTTCTTTATTAACCCTAACCCTTGTGTGTTTCTTGATCAATAAGAAACTGTTTATACTTAGTTTGAAGGTATCCGATTCACAACAAATTGGTGCGGTGAGCGTGGAGAAGATGCCTTCAACAAAGTATGAGATTGAAAAGTTCACCGGAGTGAACGACTTCGGTCTGTGGCGCTTGAAGATGAAAGCCCTGTTGGTTCAGCGGGGTTGTTTGGAAGCGTTGAAGGGTGAGGCAGCCATGGACGCTACGTTAACAACAAAAGAAAAGACGAGCATGATCGAAAAAGCCCACAGCGCAATATTGTTGAGCCTTGGTGATAAGGTTCTTCGACAGGTATCAAAGGAGACTACATCATCGGGATTATGGGTGAAACTTGAAAGTTTGTACATGACCAAATCTCTGGTGAATCGACTCTACTTGAAGCAAGCTTTATATTCATTCAAGATGAGTGAAGACAAAGTGTTGGATGAGCAGTTGGATATGTTCAACAAGCTGATTCTTGATCTTGAAAATATTGATGTGAAGATCGATGATGAAGATCAAGCACTGTTGTTGTTGTGTGCTTTGCCCAGAACACATGCTCACTTCAAAGAAACTCTCTTGTATGGAAGGGAGTCCCTGACCTTTGAAGAAGTTTAATCAGCCTTGTATTCTAAGGACTTGAACGAACAAAAGGAGCATAAACCTTCGACGGTGGGCGAAGGTTTGACCGTTAAGGGAAATTCTTGCGAAAGGATGGTAGGTTCGACAAGAAGAAAGGTAAAAGTCAACAGAAGTCTTATAGTGGTGAAACATCTAGTATTCAATGTTATCACTGTAAGAAGGAGGGTCACATAAGAAAGGTGTGCCCTGAACGCCTGAAAGATCATGGAGGTAATGGCAATGCAGCCATTGTTCAAGATGACTTTGACTCATCTGATGTTCTTGTGGTTTCAAGTGGCGACTCGAGGAAAGAGTGGATTATGGATTCAGGTTGCACTTGGCACATGACTCAAAACAGAGAATTGTTCGAGGAGCTATGTGATCAAGATGGTGAATCTGTGTTGCTGGGAAATAACAAATCTTGCAAAATTGCAGGTATTGGATCTGTGAGATTCAAGCTCCATGATGAGTCATTAAGGTTATTGACTGAAGTCAGGTACGTACCTGACTTGAAGAGAAATTTGATTTCTCTTAGTGAATTCGACAGAATAGGATACATTTTTCAAGGAGAGAAAAGTATCCTAAGAGTCATGAAAGGGTCGAAGGAAGTCTTGAGAGGCGTGAAGAAACAAGGCTTGTATACCCTTGAGGCTGAGGTTGTAAGTGGTTCGACAAATGTTGCATCCACGAAATCTATGTCGAAGACATAATTATGGCACATGAGATTGGGCCATATCAGCGAAAGAGGTCTGGTCGAATTGGGGAAGCAGAACCTGCTAGGAGGTGACAAAGTCGAAAAGTTGGAATTCTGTGAGTCTTGTGTATTTGGTAAATCCTGTAGGGCGAAGTTTAACAAAGGCAAGCAAAGAACACATGGATCCTTGGATTACATTCATGCTGATCTTTGAGGGCCTGCAAGGAATCCTTCACACTCAGGTGCAAGGTATTTTCTATCCATCGTTGATGACTATTCCAGAAAGCTATGGGTATTCATTCAGAAGACGAAGGATGGAACTTTTGAGAATTTCAAAAGTTGGAAGATTCTGGTCGAAACTCAAACTGGCAGAAAGGTTAAGAGGTTTAGAACCGACAATGGCCTTGAATTCTGCAACGAAGCATTCAACAGTTACTGTGTTGAGTCTGGGATTGCAAGGCATAAGACTGTAGCAGGTACGCCTCAAAAAAATGGCTTAGCTGAGAGATTCAATCAAACAATCCTTGAAAGGGTTAGATGCATGTTGGTTAGTGCTGGATTGAAGAAGGTGTTTTGGGCGGAAGCTGTTTCGACAGCAGCTTACCTGATAAATAGATATCCCTCGACTGCCTTGGGAATGAAGACACCTGAAGAATTTTGGTCGGGACATCCACCTAGTCTCGACAGACTAAGAGTATTTGGCTGTGTGGCCTATGCTCATATTAGGCAAGACAAGGTCAAACCTAGAGCTCTGAAATGCATGTTCATGGGATACCCTGAAGGAGTCAAGGCTTATAGGCTATGGTGCCTAGAGCCAGGTCACAGGAGGTGTATCACCAGTCGAGATGTAGTTTTCAATGAAGCAGAGATGGCTTTCAAGAAGACTGATGATGCTGACGAAGAGCTGGAAC